TACATTTTACGAGGGCACATTACAAGTTTAGAACGAAGAAATGCCCATTTTGATTCCTCTTCCATGTAAAGAAATTCATTAGGCGCGTGTTTAACGTCAGTAAATCAACGCGGGTGTGTATAAGTTTGTTTTTTTGTACATGCCTACTGCCTACAGCTCGCACGTCACCTTCCGGTACATTGATGGAGTAAGAGGAATCGAGTTTTAAACAATCGTCATACATTTCATATTTCTTAAGTCGTTAGAAGCTACTCGGTAATCGGTGTGCGTCTACACTGCCTGGAATACGTAAGCGATTGTAGAATGGGCCTTGATTGGCAAGCAGTGCATCGCTCATAGATACTGCACATTGCTTATGCCTCGCGTGACAGAATATCAATTCCTTTGGATATTTCCGCAATGGAACTTGTTCTTTGAATTAACATAATTTTCTTATAATCCAATTTTGTCGTCTTAATACTGTTATTTAACTGTTTTGCTTAACTCGCCGGTGAATATTAATGACTCTTTTGTAGTATCGTATTTAAATCAACTTGATGTGACCTGTAGCACAGTTATTATGAATACGACTGCCATTTATTACTTTTAAATGTTTTAAGTATGCTAATTTTTGCTCTACCAAATTATTCGGATGACAGAATTGTACAGCTAATTCGGATTTCGACTACACATTTTTGTAAAATTATAAAGTTAATAAGCCATGTAAAAAACCTAAGTTTTTTTTGCATTTCGTACAGCTGCTACAAATGACGTTAGTTGTATGGTAATGTAAAGATCAGGCAAAGGGTAACGGTTCCAGTTATTTTTATTATTTCATTAAAATTAGTGTGTTCATTTCCATGGCAAAGTACCAGATTGTGACCCATACTTGCCAAAATTGCCTTAACACGCTAACCGCTACCGGTGAGCCGCATTAACAAAAAAATAGTTTTCAAAAGTTTTCTATCGGCACTTCGGCAGTAAAAGGCTTCAATACATATTCTTTTAGTCTCTTCAGCCAGGAATGATCAGTGTCAGCCTTCTCAACTCCCTCAACACTTTATGGAATTCACGTAGTTATATTTTTATTATTTTTTGTGCGTAAAGTTGCTTGATAACCGAGGTGACCGCAGCGTGCAATATTCTCATGCGGTTGGCACTTAGTTGGAGTCTATTGTTCACATTGAACGAGTACTGCATCTTGTATTGTTATACCACATCGTAAAACGCGTTGTTTCGTTTTTCTCTAATATTTCCACTCAGAATAGATTTAGTGGTATGTTGGATTTGCCCATCTGTAGTATATTTTGTTGCTGGTTTATTTTGTTCTTCGTCGTCTACCAACAGATCCATTTCCTTTTTATGAGTCGTTTCAACGTTGGCTTCTATAGTAAACTTGTGTCCCTTACCTAGAACCTAGAAAAGTCTAAAAAGAGAAGAAATTCATAAAATCCTTATCAATTGTATTTTCCAGAAATTATATCCTTGTCATTCATTATGGCTGACAATTGTTATTCTAGCAAACACATAACCAATTAGTAATTACACATATCAAAGGCCAACGTAAAAGCAGTCATTGTTTAAGGTCTTAAGTACCAACCGGTTTATAAATTACCATGCCTGCAGTTCCTACGCTCACTTTCATTGTGACATCAAAAAATTTGAGATGATGCATACATAATAATGATGTAGACCACACAATCATCTTGGTTGCAGTAAAAACGGCCATCAATGGACCTCTCATTAGGGCTCCACTTTATACCCACATCAAGGAAGTTGTGTCCTTATCCCATTACATTACCTTCGTAACAAAATGTAACATTAATGTAATAAGTAACCATCCATCCGTATGGAAATTGCAAATCTTATGGATTTTTTAATCTCCTTTTTAGAGAGAGGAAATAATACGCAAATTGAGGAAATCGTTTTGTACCTATATTCCGCAATCTTACTTACCTCTACATACATGTGATCCAAAGTAATCCTTAATGCCCTGATACTATGCTATTTTCTACTGTTATTCCTCGGAAGAGGCGGTAACGAAACTGTCTTGTTAATTAATTTATTTATGCTGTCGCAATTAGTTTGTCGTAAATTATTTACGGTCATAATTTTTCCGTTCGCAAACAAGTGAATGTTTTTCTGACTTTTATTACTCTAATCGTGTTTGACGATTGGCCTTAAAAACGCGAGCGCGAACAACGTTAAAAACAGCTATAAAATTCGAATGACAAATAACGTCTTCACATGGTCTTCATTCTTCGTCCGTAATCCATTCCCATATAAGGTGCAGGTGACTACTGCATTATACATTTGCGGTGAAGGTCCGTAAAAGCTTATATATTTATTACCATCCTTCCTCAATATATTCTTGTCGTGTCCCGATGTGTGAAGTGCTTTTCTTACAGACTTTCTCAAGGTAATACAGTTACTAAGCTTCTTACGAGTTCAACGTCATCATTTTCATATGCAACTAATTGCTGTAAAAACTGAGCATTCTAATACGAGACAACACGAGTTGGAACAACAATATAGTACAAAGTACCATAGTAATCGCAGTATAACGTTACGCTCTCATGAATACGCCGTGATTACCGCGATTTACTCCATTAAAATTACTACTCACATTTCATTTGGTTTGTAGATAAAAATCTTAGTAGAAGGGTGGGTTATTAAAACAATTAATTATGCACTGTTATGTCACGTCATGCAATTACACGTCACGGTACCAACGGTAATGGAGCGATAGAGATCGCTGCAACAGCCTCGCGTTTTGCTGCAGAGAAAACTTGATGGCTTTGAATAGCAAATAGCAAGTAAATAACAGAATAACAGAGAAACTTATTTTATTATAATGTCATTATTATTAATGGAGTGTTAAAGAGTGATCAAATGCCATTCAAACATCATTACAGCCATCAAAGGAATGAAAGTTATCTTTCACCTGATTCTAATCGTGACACCCGACTCGTTAGTGTCGCTATATTCGCAGATAAACGAGTTATTTGCTTTACACCAATAACTTTTTTGCATTAGAAAGGTAAGTTTCTAGATCATTACTGTTTTTAGACTTCCGTGGTATACAATGGAGTTTACTTGATAATAGAGAAACCGAAATTAACTCACAACTTGCACGAACTGTGGGTATTGAACTAAGTATAGACCTATGGGTGGTTAGTGATTTACTAGGAAATTGATGAGAGAGCTGGGTTCGTGCGCGGGTCATTTACGCGCCAACGACGCGGTGAAACCAAATCACACGGCTAAATAAGTTTCGTCCGATAATTGTTAACATTACACACAATCGAAGCAACCGCAACCCGCATGATAGCTACGGTAACGGACGCGTTTTTGTGTGTACTCGTTTGGACTTTAACAATGCTTTCCTAAACAAAAAATCTGGTTAGAGCAAATTTGGCTTCACAGGAATTGGGTCACTAAATCATTGCACTATAGAAAACACTAGATACGTATCCGCTGTAAAGAGAGAAAATAAAATCATTTAATTCTTAACGAGACTGAAACCATTAAATCGATTCGGACCATTGACGGTTCTACAAGGAATTGCAATAGCAGATACGACGGTGACTTCATTTATTTTTTGTACTTTTATCTTAGACTGTAGAAAAGTACGTAAATACCAGCGAAACATTTACATGTGGTCGTAGGGGTAATACCCAATTAACAGAAAGAGGATGCATAGCATTAACTGTGACGTCATCGTCATTCAAGTGGAGTTTGAGAGAAAGAAAACACGCTTTATCTGTCTTCATGATCTACCTACACCATTTTAGAATCCTACCTTCATTCATAACATATTTAATAATTATTTGCTGAAGATTGAACATAGGTACTTCTCTATAGTTAATATACAATTTGTTACTGCCAAACATTTGTAATCTGTGTACATAAGTGATTCGTTTTTTCCATATCCCAGTGAGATAGCTTCACAAAACGTTTTTCTCATGAATTATGTAGTAAGTTTGGTACCTAAATACCAGTAGGATCGGACCCTTCTTCCTTTCTGTATAATTTCATGTTCCGATGCCTGAATAAGTAATGCAACGATTTCGAAACGTTTCATAAAATTTTAATTTCGGTCGATATTACATCGCATCGTAACATTCACTTACATATTTAATTTTTGACAGTGACGCAATTCATCGACTGGATGTAGCTGGAATAACAAAAATAGTTCGGTCTCATTTGTAAAATAGGATTCGTAATTATTTCTTGTCAGATGTCTCGTGGATGATGTATGACCGCTGTAGGCGGAGCGGACATCCTCATATAAGCGAAGACAATGTTACAACTAGGAATGTCATAGCAATTTGCAACAATGACATAATACACAAACAAAGTGGAACGAATCGTAATCCGCTCCGAAAACGCATTCATTTGTTCACGCATTAGTGCATTGCATACGTGCTGACTATGAGGTATGTTTCTTTGCCAAGGTCGACTTGTAAGTGTACACAGGCACATTGCCCTTTGCAACCAGTAAAAATATCCAGCGTGAAATTTAAAAATAGCACAAAACCACGAAATACTTAGCTGGTTGTGCGGGATGAGGAGCATTCTTGGAAGTACTGCGAACACTTGACGTGATTAATACGCCTGCGTTATTATGATCATTGTAAATCATAGCGAAGGGTACCACCCTATGTATGCAAATCTAAAGGAAACTACTGATTATAGCTGTAAAAGCCATAACTTTTTACGACAACGCATAATTTTTCATTATAGTGCCAGGTGACTTTATTGCTCTATATAGGTTTTTGTTTCTTTACTTTTGATTCTATTTATGTTAATTAAATAAATAAAAGATCCAGTATTCACACTTTTAAGTGAGGTCTAAGTGAGTAAGACTGTTACGAAAATCAGAAAACGGAAAGCCTGAGAATCACTAACTGAATGGTGATCATTCTCACATATAACAATTTGGTAAAGGCTAGCCTAAACTCAAAAAATGCTCTGAAAAAGACAATAGATATACAAAAATATTTCATTTTCTGTTTCAGATAGTGCAAGCAGATAACAGGGTATCGTCGTACTTAGGTGCTCGTTGCAAAGCTAAAAGCGACTGTGGCGTCCCCAACTCACACTGCGAAAGAGGCGTGTGCGCATGTCAACCTTACTTTGCACAAGCTGACAACTCTACCTGTCTTGAATGTAAGTAACACTTTTATTTTTTAACCACAGTTTATTTCTCAGTTTTCTGTCCTGACCAGAATGATTATTATGCTGATAAAAAAGTAGATACAAATTTCTTAGACTTTAGATTTGATTCTGATGATGAAAAAAAAAAATAAGAAAAGATGATAATGGAGAATCAAATAGATAGGAAGTTTTAGGGATCCAAAGCAACTATGAACAAGGAAAAACAAAAATGTATTCCATAAAATCTAAACATATTGATTAATTTTTACTCCCTCTAAAAACTGTTTGACATTATTGTAAAACAGCATATTTATAAATCAAATAACAGACGTTTCCGTATAGCAGTAAAATATCGCACGTATGACTTAGTTCATTATCCTTTTTCCTAGCACGCGCTATGTAATTGACGCACTTTGGCTCGCGGTTTTCACCTCTCATAGGTAATAGCTAATCACTCTCGTGTGGGATACTCTGTGGTCAGTGTAACAAATTACTTTCACTCAAATGATCAATAGCTATCAAGTAATGGCAGTTTTCATCATAGGACATTAAAATTATCTTCTGAATCATCGAATTCAATTTCGCTTTCTTCAGTAAATTGTTATTTGTAAATAACTGGTGCTAATAGTGGTCTAGTTTATGGTATTGCTAACTGTTAATATCCACCATTAATTTTGTTTTCTCTAACAATAAATAACGTACAATTGTAGTATTTATTTCTCGCGTTCTATTAACACGTAATACGTTATTGTTGAGTGGGTTTATGGATTCTCCAGTTTAGTCTAGTCGACAAGTTTTTTAGACACAAATTAGATAGACACTTTGCTTTCACTGTATTTTGGTTAACTGTCAAAATTTTCATAGAAGACCAATATCCATTATAAACATTATATCTTCATCATGCCATTCGTGCCGATGAGTCTATTCGTAATAAAATATAATAGTAACATTCCATTCTGTCTAGATTTTATCTGTCTAGAGTCCAATTTGGACTCGCCAAAAGCAGTCAGCGATACGGACTTCACAGTTGGATTCGATGCGAATTGAGCTGGTTATCGTAAAGTATCAAAGATATTTTATTGTGATAGTACTACAACCTACAATCCCACGCTCGTCTCACTTTCTTTGCCACAAAAGTATAGGACCAAATCGAGAACTGGATCATGTGGACACTACAAGCAACGGTTCCTTCGATTATAATGTTACGTTACTACGAACAGTGACCAGCTCTACGGATTTTACGATGCATTCATTGAAACAGTAAAGTTTTTATTGAATACGTATCATAATATCACGAGAATGTCTTCCTCTTTATGGTGTGTGCAAGTTTATGTATGAGTGCTTGTAGCTATTAGCAGACTTTTTCAAATGACTGAAGATGCAGTTTTGTTAATATCTTTCGCATGACCAAATCGGATTGGGAGTAACAAAGCCAGATTTTGTTTAAATCCTGGTGAAACGGCTTAAAGACTTCTAATAAGACAATGACACAACTCCAGGTGTAAGTGGTCCCCTATAGACCAGTTGGTCCATATACGATTAACATATTTGAGGTGAAGTTAAAGCCTCAGTAGTTTTGAAGAGGAACTATTCACGGATGCGTTGTGTAACATACTTTATGGACTAGCAGGTCCAGTCAGGCGGCATTTCAAACTAGGACTGAATACAGGTACGCTAGTCCAGCGACCATATTCAAGACGTAATCAATAAAATCATAATATCCCTTCATTACCTTTAATGGCATGTAATATGCCTGTGAAATAAATTGAATTAGGTATTTATTTAAGTTTATTGGCTTTGCCTTATAAGGCAGACTTTTAAGTGGCCGGCCTATTCCCGTGCGGAGCGAACAATGAATCGCCGCCATCGTCGGCTAATTATTCAGCAATGTCGTTAAAGACCCTATTTTGTAACACTTGTCCATGTGCGAACGTATTATGTAGGTATTGATGTACTAAAGCTAGATGTCTTACTGTACGATATTTTAGAAATGTTGATTGTGTAAACACTAAAGGGAAATCACAATATAATCGGAGTTGGAAACAAGGAAGTAATTATGGGAAGACATTGGCCATCGAACGTTGGAAAGGAGGTACGGTATGTCGGTTCAGTTGTGAGCTGTCAGCTTGTCATATCAAACTTCCTCGTGGTCAGTGTGCCAAGCGTGAGCAATCATCTCCGCCATGGAGAATAACAGAAATATAAACTGTTTGATATAGACTTTATCCGACAGTCTGATGACCAACTGGAAATAATTGCTCTCCTAATAATTCGCGTGAACTGATTCTTTTGACGTCTTAGTTATCATCATCTTAGTCTTTCATTCGTCACCTATGATAAGCGTACGTAACTGTACATACTTATATACTGAATATTAAACCCAGCTTTTAACTTGCTTGTTGTACCTATTTAAAAAAAATAAAAAAGTAAAAAGGTGTGATTATTGATTTTGAAATTGATACCTTGTTATTTTTTTTAAGTTCAAGTTTCTTTAATAGTAGATATTAAAATAAAGTCATTAAATATCCGTAGGGCGCCTACATTGTCCACGATGATAAATGGAATTGTCTGTTTACACGCAAAACGTGTTTTTTTTATCGCTGGCGCTATGTTTCTGGGCGATAAAAACTTGGAAGGTGCAATTTTACTCGTGTCAGTTTGGAATTCCAATTAAATATTGAGGGGTGGTTGAATAGCAAAGTAATTTAAAAGGGCTCTATAGAAATTGTAGCTTTATTGGAGTAACCTTTAATTTTGTCATGTGTACAAAGAGAGGAGGCAAGAAGTTAAATTAGTAAAAGATTAACAGAATTGTTTAAGATTACAAAGAATGCTTTGCATTTAAGACAATAGGAGCTTTAAACTAGTAGGTAGTGATGAAAGGATTGTATCGAACGCTATTTAAAAATAGAACTGCGGCTTTGCTAGAATATCTGAGTAAGTTCCGTTGAAACCTGCATGCATGCCAGTTACCCCTAAATTATTTACGATGCGGCGAACGTTCGAAATTCAAAATTTCGAGTTATGGAACAATTGTTTTTTTTTATAGCAACGATGAAACGAATGCCCCTTATTGACTAGAATTTAATTAATTTAAGAAGAAATTAATAGGTACGTAATTCAAGAAAAGAGCGTACTCCTTTTTAAAACGCCGGCAACGCACCTGTGACTCCTCTGGTGCTGCAGGTGTCCATGGGCGCCGCTAATCGCTTACCATCAGGTGATCCGTCTGCTCGTTTGCCTCCTATTCCATAAAAAAAACGTATTAGAGTGCAACCCTCATAGAACATAGCTTCTGAAAAATGTATTTAGTTCCAACTAAATGCTGGTTTAAAAATAAGATCTATTTTTACTAATCAAACAAAAAAGGATCATCCAGAATTCCAGATCCCGACACTCATCAACGTCCGTAGTTTAACGATAATATGCGCCCAATAAATCCTTGTCGTCTAAAGCTGAGTGCATGGACGCAACGTGAATATGTCCATCTCGTTTATTTGCGGTAGGTACCAATTTAAATAAACTTGTTGATGATTACGAGAGCGGCCCCGTCGGCAAGCTTCGACTGACTTATCGTCCGGTTTGCCAGCCGTAAATTGGTCCCGCTATCCTTCGAGGGTATGAAATGTAGGGACTCTTATCCATTTTATATTTATTTACTACTACAGTAACTGTTAGCTCAGAAACTACGATTATTGATCCGTGACCGACTGTATCCATGGACAGGTAGGTTCAACTTAAGTGTTAGATATCGTAGTCATAAATTAGACATGGCCACTGAAATACAACCGATTAAATTCTATGGTAAGAAATAAATATCTAGGACATATTGAAACGTTTCAGGAAATTCATGGTTATTAGAAATCCCCTTAAATGTAGATGGCGTTAGTTACGCCAACTATCTATGAGATTCTTTGTAATAACGGTATGCACAATTCGTGTTAAAGTTGAAGACAATCACGTACTAAATATTGGTTAATTATTTTGTTTGCATTCCACACTTAAGTTTGGGAATCTTACTTTCTAAGGGCGCATCATAGAAAGCGATATAAAACGTTTAGTTCTGCGTGTTACACGCTTACGACATTTTGGTGGAAAATTGACGCGTACTTTTTTGTGCAGTCTTTGCAAGTCATCACATGAAGCTTGGTCTACAAAAGCAACTATTATAAAACGAAATTTGAAAGTAAATACCTAAAATTCATTTGTAAATAGGATCAAAATATTTTCCGTTTAAAAATTACTTTATCTTACCCGTCTATTTCAAGCCCAAGTTGCACAAACAAATATTTAAAATTACAAGATTTTTTAAATAATCCTGAATTCAAGTAAGTAGTACTCGGTATTCAGTGAAACGACAGTGAAACTCCAAACATGATAAGGTGTAAAGCAACCTTGTTTCTTCATACACTTTGGAGCAAAGGTTACGGTTACTTAGTGTTTCAAGAACTTTATGTTCGACAATATAATTTTCTTGTCACCTTATAAGTACACTGCTTATTTCACTCAAAATAGAGAAGCACGTACTAAACCGTGCCTGGGTACCATATCAAAGCATGTAAGCATGACATACAGTTTTTTCTGAGCAGTGCTAACGCCCATTTTGCATCCATTAACCCAGTTATGCATAGCTAACAAGCGTGCAGTTTCCTACGATGTAAGCAATCGTAATTTATATGTTCAAAACACATAGACATAAATACAGGCAGACTGGAAAATTATACATAAAGACTCAATTGACTACAATGTTTCACAATGAACACGAGGAAGAAAATTAAGATTGATGTAGTATAGTGACCATTGGTGAGCCACCAATGGTGCTCAGCTTACTAAAGTTACGAAATATTTGGCTTTCCTTAAAATCTGTATAGGTATACTGAGCCAGTCTTTTCTTTCCTGTGTTTTGGTGACTGTACATTTCTATATTCACATTTATATGATGTAATACACAACAATCTATGTATGCATGTATGGGTCTCACACTTATCTACGACATTTGCTTCGTTCACCGCATCACTGCTAACATTGTCCCGTCAGTAATTTTGTTGTTTACTTTTTTCTTCATTGTGTTATGCTGTCCAATTTTTCTACAAAAATATTATTGTTATGCTTGCCAAATAACTTTCTGCTTCCATTTATTTGTGTTACTAAAGTTCGTAGTACCTACCTATTGGACTATGAATGAACGATAAATAAACAAAAGCTTGAGTGTACCTAATCAGTGCCTTTTTTCTACTAGTCATGACAGAGTAGAAAAACGGATAGAAATCAGACAGAACCCCCATGAAGTAATTACAACTGTCCATAACTGTTTCCCATAATACACAAAGAAGGTGATTTAGGGCGCCTATGTGTAGACAACCGTTACATGAACATAGCTCCTTAAAAGGCTTGTATCTATCCGCCTGTCACCATCCCACTGCGATATCTATAAAGACCCGTTTGAGAATTTTGGATAAATGAAGAGACAAATAACTAACGACACCGTTTCATTCACAATCTTCATTCTACGTATCGAATCGACCTTGACTTTGTATAACAAGATTATAATCTTCAGATGGAAATCGAAGAGTCACGCACATATTCACTTTTTTCACGGTTGTCAGTGCTGTGCCAAATCTAATAAACGTTTGTATTCTCTGTGGTCGTCTCCGTTTTGAGATTAATGTGTCAGACATCTTAGATGGTAATCGCAAGAAATATAAAAGAATTATAAGTAATTGTAACAGGCCGAGCGTCCAACGTCTCACGTACCAACTCGTTAAAAGCAAATACTTGTAAATACTACATTGCGATTTAGTTTAGTAATTTTTAACAGCTTTTAAACTGTCAAACACCAAGCGGTCACCGGTGACCACGACCTATTGTTCTTTAGTTGTGTCTATAAAACCGGTACTCGACGAGTTAATTAAATCGAGTTCACGTATGTTTATTAATTGATTTATTTAAGTGCCAAAATACGTGTGTTTACCTTCACTTTAATTGAATAACGTCGGAACTAATCAATAACGGACAAAGAGAAATGTATGGCGTTGACATAAAAAAGATCCGGCTTCCAAAATATGCAAATATTTTGATGAAAGAGATTTCCCGTAAATGATAAATGAATAGAAAGACACAAATGTAATCGTTACCTAATAGAAATATCGATCGGAAGGTGTGATTGATCAATGCGGCTGTAGTTAATAAATTTCTCGTGTTTATTTTATGTACAACGTTAATCGCAGCTACTTCTGACATTCTTGTAAACTGCCGCCCGCATACCAACCGGTGCTAGTGATTCTATTATTTATCGCTTAATCGTTCGAAAGTCGTGTTATGCATAAACATGTTTATTCTACGAAAGACATCCTGCTTTACTTTATACATCAAAAACAAACATATTAAATTTTTACGTTGTTTTACACAAGTAAGAACCTATGTAAATAAATGTTTAATACGACCTTATTACTGGTATTGTTTTTGACGTAGTAACGAAAATGTAGATATGCATACTTACATTCGATGCAAATTGTCGGCCACACCCGTGTAAACGGACCAACAACGGTGAACTTGAAATCAAATAGGGTCGCACACGCCTTCAGGTCATGAACCCGTCACTCAGTGCACTGTCACCATAGAAACTAGGACATGTAGAGAAGACAACAAGGAGGTGTGACTGTAGGAAACTAGGACTGGCTGGATTATAATTAAAGAAATGGTTGACAGTTGAAAATAATTCAAATAACGAACACATTCTTTTTTGGTACGACAAGATGATGGTCATCACAGATAATAATAAATTTTTGGTTTGTGTGACATGCATGTGAGCGGGAAAAATGTGCACAGCTGATTTATCGAATCCCCAAATCGAAATGTAATTTGAAAATAATGTGCTTAAACTTTTTTAAAAACCGTGCCATTGAGTTCCAATGTCCAAAAATGTATATTTTATCATCTTTAGCTACTTATCTAGTAGTTATGTACCTAGGTGTTGAATTCAGTTTTTCAAGCCAGACTCGAGCAAAAGTTTTTGTTACAAATTGAAATTGATGTGATTGTCGAAATAATATGTAAATCATGAGCTCGTTGGTGATTGTAATATTCACAATAGTTGTATTGTGTCTTTCAGAATCTATTTTCGTTCGTTTTTTGTGTTATTTTTTATAGAAAGCAAGCAGCTTTTCACAATAGTGCGGTAACCGCGTCGTGATGTAAAATGTCTAGTCAAACATTTTTTACATAAAAACTGATATTTTTACAACTTTCTGAAGTCACTTTACTTAATTATTAGATACTTATTCGTCAAATACTCTTCTAACGAAGTTTTTTTTGTTGCAGCGACTCTTTTAGGATCAGAATGCACGGTATCGGAGCAGTGCACGTTAAAAGTGGCATACAGTGCCTGTCTCGAAGGTGTCTGCCGATGTACCGATGGCCATCTGCAGTTCAGGAAGCACACCTGTCTCTCACGTAAGTATCTCCACTCAATTCACAAAAGACAACGAACATTTGTAATTATTTACTTGCGTAAATTACTATTACAATTTAAAAGGGATGAATATTTGACTAATCGGTTGGCGCGGTGGCTGGGCAACTGGCTGTCGCGCAACGTGTGGCGGGTTCCATTCCCGCACGGAACAACTCTTTGTGTGATCCACAAAATAATGGTTGTTGGGCCTGGGTGTCATATGTATGTGATATTGTATGTTTGTAAACGAACCCACGACACAGGAGTAAATCCTTGAGTTGGGCAATGTTATTAAAAGAAAATAAAAGATAAGAAGTAATTTTAATGATATGTTCTAATTTTCTCCCAGATAACCTAATAAAAAGGGCGGAAATATTTATACGTTTTCGAATCCGTAACATGAAAGTTGTATGCTCAATCGGGGCTCGTATACTTACATATTCACCCCTAAGAAAGAAAGGAGAACTAATAAAGTAGAATGTTATTATTATGTTACGCAACAATATGACTGAAAAACCTTACGATAACAATCGCCTACACAAAAGATAATCATCGACAACTATTAGATTGCTTTTCATTTCCCAATGCAAATTTCTATAACGATTTGAAATCGGTAAAAGGAATAATGCGTAACATTGTTTTTTCTTTTTTATCGTTACACTTTTAAATGGCTGCTTAATGAGCGTATCGGCTATCAATTAGTTTTTCATTGGAAAACTGTCACTGGTCTCACCAGCCGGTAGTCAAACCATTCATTGTAAACAAAGTTCCTATAATTTACCACTTATGTATTAATAGAAAAATATTTCATCAGTTTCATTAATCTTCGTATAATTAAAAAGACGTTGACGTGTGAATTTAAATTGAGAATTAACCAGAATGAACATTAATTTCGGACGCCGGCGTAGGAATAGCAAATGTATATGTTTTACGTAATTAAGTCAACAAAAACTGAAATAAAGTGACCGATGAACTCAAACTAGGTAGACATGTTCAATAAAACATGATTTTTAATCGGAAAGTTAATTAAAACTTATTCAAAGAATGTTGATATTAATATTTTCCATGGTAAAGTACATGGTAGGAACTTCCTGCATTAGTCCCTAGCGTTTCCCATATTATTGATCGTCGTAAAAACATAGCGTATGGGAATCCCATGTTCAATGGTAAGCAAACAAAACGAGAAAACAGAGATAGAAAAATTGTTGGAACTGGAATGAAAAGAAAGATATACCTATAAAATATTATGAAAAGCATCCTTACAAAGTTATAGTACTTCTCGTTTTTAATATAAAATCGAAAATAATCGTTTACTTTCATGAGCTTGTTTGCAAGCTATTGTTAGTTAGATGGCGCCAGTGAGGCGTAGAGTCTTGTTCCAATCACTGTATGGTTGTCAAAAGTTTATTCCCCGATGATTTCGCGCTAAGAGATTAATAGTTTATTAGTTTTGATGCCTTGCGTTATACCAGACCCCCAGCGATGAGAAACTCCGCATTAATGAAACTATAAAGAATGTTTTGATTTCTAACCAGTAACTACCTAGTAAAACATATAGGTATTAACTTATTCACAATGAACAATTTAAAAATTTAAATTTCTACTTAACATTAATTATCATGACGGGGATTCTTTGAATAGACAACATTGTAATTGTAAATTGTAATAAAACTTTCGATTTCATTCAAAACGTCCCAATTTCTTTATAGAAAATTATACCAGTCATGGTTTAAGTTACTGTGTTGAATCATAACGAATAAGCCGTGTAATTCTCTAAAGTGGCTCGAGAAAAGTTCCTACGGAAATCAATTTGACCTTCATTCTGACATTACTACGTTGTACTTAGGTATTTTTAATGAATTGGAAAAAGTGTTTCGAATCGTTGTTAATTGTCTTATTTATACTAAGTATTCTGCCTACTCATTATCTGTTTGTTCGCTATTTAAAAGATCACAAAATTAAACCAATCACATTAAATTATTTGACTCCTAGTAAAAGTTCTTCACAAACATTTTGTTACAACATTTGGACTGGCATACTTACACAAAATACCGCAATTTACTACATAAGGGCAAACTACGTCACATTTGGTAAAAGCCCAATAAAATCTGATAGCGGTTGCTTAAGCCTCCTCTTCGTATTTCTCAATGGTTACGATGCTTTAACAGACCTTATTTCCGCGATTTATCGTAAGAGCTTTGTGAGAAAATGAACCAAGTAATTGTTCTGTCAAATCCACCAGTCTGCTCATGTGAACCGCGCTTATTATCGCACATAATGTGAGTATTGTAAAGTTGCTGTGAGAACTCCTAAGTATAGCTTTATAAATTCTTTACGTACCGCGATACCATAATAGAGATATGGAGATAAAGTATTCAGATCACGAATAAGGCTGACATTTTATCTCTTGACCTTCTTACCTCTAAACCGTATGAATACGCAAATCAAACGCAGTAAATGAACGATGAAAGGTGGAATATATTTCACTATTTAATATCTCGGCCTGCATCTTGTTTCGCGAAAAGGTTACAAGTTCAAATCAAAGTTGCGCGAAACAAATCATGAAATTATTTCGCGCACTTCACTGGGTATCAGATACAGTTAGACAAAACGGAATGATTGACGTAGAAGGTAATATACTTGTTATTTTCAAACAAAATTGATTTAATAAAAATACGGATGTACTAATGTAATATACCTAATAATAACGGCTCATGAAAAATAACAACGTAACATAGATATGAGTAGGTCGATAAATAAATAGCTAGTGTAGTTGCGTGTCGTGCTATACTGTTCCTGATTAACATATAATAGCCAATCAAATTACCATTTGTGATTTTACATTCACGACACTTTATCAAATTGTTGTGATTATATCTTTAACAGCCATGGGAATGTAACAGTTATAAACATTATAAATAATTTATTTGATTGCAAACAATAAACTATCAGTGAAATGACATAGACATACGAATCTAGTTGAAACTGTATCTGTCGGACTATTAGAGCATGTAATGGCAGACCGTATGCCTAGTCTCGGGAAAATTGCTACCAACTACTCTGTGCCCAACAGTCACGATGTAGACAAATACCTCAGTGTATTTTATTCAACGACCAATTGCCGTGAGCCAATTGAACGTGAAACCTTTAAAAAGAACTGCATCATGTGCTACGTGTGCTTACGTGTGTTATCTTGTCATTTCAGCTGCACCGCCCGGTCACGTCTGCTACAGCAACGAACATTGTCGTTTATGGGACAAGGAGAGCCGTTGTGAATTCGTCATACTTAATCTGTTCGGTAGATGCGCGTGTAACAGCTATTTTAAACAAATCGGAGACAAGTGTGTAGCGCAGAAAATTCCACCTTATGCCACTGAAGCTGTCGTTGCGGAAATGGACGCTGTAGTTGCTCCATCAAACGCAACAGTAACATACAAAGATCAAATACCTAATCCAACCGTACAACTGACAGCAAGTTCAGTAAACTCTTTCGGATCTCCATTATCCGTAATTAGTTCTGACGATATTCAGCCAAGCAAATTGCCAATGTATACAAACAAAAATGATGTGTTCAGCACTGACGAAGATAGCCCATTGATGCAAGCTGTCATGAAAGTGCCGAGTGTTGAACCGACAAAACGATTACCCGTCTCGAATAGAAAAGATGGCGAACCAAATGAGACGATTAGGGTAGACGAAATGACAGCTAATTTGCATGCAAATGATCAGCCAATTTACAGGGTTGTGACACAGCCATCTGTAGAAAAGAAAACTAACAAAAAGGGTAGTGCGTCAAAGGAAAGTAATTCAAGCGGGAAACCTCACAAGGGTGGACATCAAAAGAAATCTTCTCTGAAGGGTATAAAATATTTAAAACTTATAATTGAATTTCTTTTCATAAGTGAGTACCTAAGGTTTCTAAAAATAAAATTACGTTTTCCAGACAAGCATCGTATACGCACGGATACGCCAGTCTACGACCTTGGCCCTGCATCTCTCGGAATGCCGTGCCTTACGGATCCGCAATGCCAACAAGTGGATCCATACACGCGATGCCTCAACAAGAAATGTGACTGCACGTACCGAACTAATTCTACTTCAGCTTGCTCGGCTCGTAATAGAGGCTGCCTACCAAACACGTTCCAAGTTAGTATCATGTTCACATGTCGGGATGAATCGTGATATATGCGTTAGATCCCAAGTCCTTTAAGTAATGCATCCAATGGCTACATTAACATTTTTACTTCACAGTGTCGATCAACGGGAACTTGTATAAGTTGGTACTTTGTCTGCGATGGACGCAAGGATTGCCCCGATGGCTCGGATGAGAAATGTGAAGGTACTGGTAAAGGTTCGTAACTCTGCACTTTATCTTTCGCGCACATCTTTCATCTTCATTGTATCATCTCATTTTCATACTAATTTTCTAGTTAATAATACTCTTACATAATTTTCAAGGTATAGCAAATACACAGTAGATACTACTCGTCATATTTATGTGTTTAGATTTTATAAACTTTTGTTGTTTTTATTTTTTTTTAATTTATTTTTTCTTAACAAATATAACAGTGAATGGCGGACTTATTGCCTTAAGGCATTCTTTGACAGTTAACTATTAGTTTTAGTAGCATTCAGTAGCAATTTTGACTAAAAGGATAGATTTCGACAATAAAATAATTTAAAGATTATCCAGACATCAAAAATAAGTGGTATTTTAACATATCAGTCGGGTATCCTGCCCATACTTATAAATTCTAATCAGAGATAGACCATTAAAATGTGTTCCGTTTCTTAAAGAACATGCACATCATACTTAACAGGTACATTATGCACCTACTTAGGGACTTACCGATTATACGGTCATCAATTCATTAATCCAACATCATTTACTATCATTACTTACCTACATAAAATATCATGAATCCATCATGAAACCATATGAAACTGTCAAACACCGCGAGGACACCGGTGACCGCAACCTATTGTTCTTTAATTGTGTCTAAAATGACGGTACTCAAAGAGTTAATGATCAATTCATCATTTTATCATCCTATGTTTTACAACTGTAATTATGTCCTTTTTGCAGAATTAACAGGGGAACGGTGTCCAACAAACTCATTCAGATGTGGGGGACCTGGGTCTCCTTGTGTGTCTCGAGCATCCAGGTGTGATGGTACTCCTCAGTGCCCAGGAGGAGAAGACGAGAAGAACTGCCGAGCGACACGACGTAAAGGGTAAGTTAAGGGATCAACTAAAAAGGCTGATGGTCGAAATTAATAAACCGATCTTATTTTAAAATCTCTAGATCGATATGAGTTGTTGAAAATTCAAAGATTTTAATACAACGATTTGATATATCTATATATATTAAAGTAAGTCGTGTTAGTTACACCACTTATAACTCAAGAACGGCAGAATAGATTTGGCTGAAAATTGGTAGGGAGGTAGCTTAGAGCCAGGAGACCGACATAGGATACTTTTTAACCAATACTTTTTTTTACTTTTTACCGAAAATCACGAACGGGGACGGGAAAAAATGAGATTACGCGTACGAAGTCGCGGGCAGAAGCTAGTTTTTTATATATTCTACCAGCCCCGGCTTCGCGCGGGTGCAATATTGTACATATAAACCATCCTTAAGAATCACACTATCTATTTAAAAAAACCGCATCAAAATCCGTTGCGTTGTTTTAAAGATCTAAGCATACATAGGGACAGACAGACATGGATAGTGACTTTGTTTTATACTATGTATGTAGTGATGTGCCGACGTTTGATAACTATCTCGCATAGTGGTAAGCGATGATGCGGCCTAAGATGGATTGAGATCACAAAATGCCTTAGCTGACCTTAGCTGCCATCTCGATCACCGAAGACTGGCTTTAGCGGAAAATTTGCCTTCAAAGATTTTCTATCGACATTCAAACAAAGGTTTTAAAACTTATTGGCTATGTTGCACCTCGTATGTTAGATGAATGAACTCTTAAACCGTACCGTGGGATTATACCAACGCCATTGAACCCATAATAAAGTCATAACTACTCATAACATGTAATCACCGCTGTTAATTATTTCCTTCAGCTGTCCACGTCACACATTCCGTTGCGGTTCAGGGGAATGTCTACCTGAGTATGAGTTCTGCAATGCAATTATATCCTGCAAAGACGCTTCTGATGAACCACCACATCTTTGCAATGAACAATCGAGGTGAGTTTCATTGAGTTAATTGTATTTTAGATGATTAAGTAGCTGCATATAATTCTATAGTTTGACTTCTAGTTTTAGATGTCGTGAATACTTACGAATACTCGTAGAAATGTATGGTCTTTAAGATTTAAAGGTGCTTACTTTCCTGTCTCATCAATATATCGAAGAATAATGATAGAAACATAAACATTGGATTATAATTTACTACAAACAATACTTTCTTTAACCTTCAACACCTATAGCGATAACTCTTCAAAGCAATTTTCGTCTACGGACTCAGACAAATGTCCTAACCGTATCTCGAGGGCTCGAGGCATTGCCACAAAAACCTTATAAGCTGTTAGTTATATTTACCATTAGTAAGTGAGTACGTTTCGTAATCACAGCACGTGCGACCTGTAACGGTGTTTGTCCAAATATTTGACCTTAGCTTATGGTGGTAGTTGACACGTATGGTGTATGTATTCAGATGGCGTGCGGCTGACTTTTGTCCGTTCCGTTGCGGGAATGGCCGATGTAGGAGCACGGCTGTTGCTTGCTCGGGACGCGACGGATGTGGAGATAATAGTGATGAAATTGCCTGCAATGTCTGCAGTAAGTATATTTGCCAATGTAAATTTCAAAAGTTTGGGGATTTAAATAACATATTATATATTGGGAGTCTCCTAAAATATTCTGGATTTAATCCGAGATTTCACTCTTTTTGTTATCATAAGTTAAATAGTCTCTTAGACAGGTCATAAACTAAAACCGAGTTTGGGACGTCTAAAAATAAAAAAAACTTTGATTTCAATAAAGGTAAAGTCTAAATTGCCTACTGAGTTTTGTAGCCCTAAAAAGGTTCAGTGATCTTTAAGATCTTCAGTTGATTAGAAGGTCAAGTCCAAGATCATGAGTTGATTAGAAGGTCAAGTCCTATCAAACTAAATCCTGATTCAGAATCTAACAACAGTTAAACCACAATTAAAAGAATAGATGTTAATTAACTAGTAGGTCACGAGACCTCAAACTCAAAACAACAATGCAATTCTTCTAAACCGAATGCAAAAAATTGCTTGTAACTTGACCAATAGCAGGTACCTACATACATAGCATAATTTCACCAATAATAGCGACGGACGGGTACAGTATTGTTGAAATACCAAAACACAGTAACATAATGATTTCTGACAGGAACTGTTAGCTGACCACTTGACCAAACATGTGAAATATGACGTCGCTTTCTGCATATCAGCGATTCGATACGATAAGTGATGCCGTTACGTGAACAATAGCGCTCAAACTATCTGGCAAGCGGTAATGGGTGGCATCGGTTTCTGTTGACCCACCAAACAATGTCTTATGAGATCTTATGTCCGTTCTCACAAATCACTCGTAAACTGCCACTTAACTAAAAGTTACTTAGTGTGATAAAGCACCAAAACTAACCCTTTACTTGTATTGTTAGGTGTCACTTATGTCGCGGAGAACCTAACGGGTAACCGGGGCTCCGGCTCGACGTGCAGGAGAAGGAACGGGGTGGTTTTTAGTCAGTAAGAGTCTGACACTCCCTTCCGCCTCACCCAGGCGGGAGCAGTCAATCGATGATTTTCCCCCCTTAAAAAAAAGTGTCACTTATAGGTTATATTTCCGCCAGTTACAAAAATGTTGCTAAGTGCCATTTATCTTAGCTTAGAGGTTCTTTTTATATTTGGTGGGCCGACGTTTGACCACTACCTCGCCTGGTGGTAAGTGATGATACGGTCTACGATGGGGTACGTCGAACCATACGCAACTTATTCACTCGGGCCTTGTTCATTTAAGTTTTGGAGAACTTGATGAGAACGGGGATTAGTTTCCTAATAATGTTCGTTTCTTTTTCAGGATGTCCCGCCCCACCGCAGCCTTGAACATCAATCATCAATTCAAAGCTGACCATCGGATTGCTGGATCTCAATGCTCAATATTTTTGCGTACACAGTAAAACATTACTTATGATTTGTAAACTAGAATTCAACCTCATTTTTTTCATAAAAACTACAGATTTTTTATTGTATAATGGTACAAACATGAATTACCTACCTAATTAGCGAACTTGATGATTAATGATATTTTAATGCAATGTTTTATTGTTCGAGGAAAGGTTTAAATACACATTAATTTGGCTCATATTTAATGTAAGCTTAATAAATGTAAATATAAGAATATTTCTCTATAGCAACTAAACTACGACACTAGTTTAAAATGATTCAGGTCAAATTTTGTTCGGACATTCTTCGGAAGTTTTGGTAACACAGCTACAGAATATGTTTTACGAAATATTTCTAATTTAAGTGTAATTTAAGCCACGTATAAAACAAGACTGAAAAGTGATGCTTATAACCGTGAATTAGGTATCAACTTGTCAATTAGGCATTAATTGAAAAAGCTTAAAATGAACACAGCATTTTCTACAACATTGCCCGCTCAAAAAAAATGTAAATATTTTTTTCAACTGGCAGTTACTTCTTTTTTTCTATTCCACAGACTATAAGATGTAATAATAGATAAGATTTTTATTTCAAGTTTGGTGTGAATTTAGCTGGCTAAGCGCAGTCGAGTGTAACTTATTGTAAAATAGTGTGGTTATGTGTGTGAATGTGATAATGTATTTATTAAATTAATTTCACTATAAATGTTCCAAGTATTTTAATTTTTGTCTTAATAAGATCCCAGGACCTTTTGATTTCTCCTTATGAATGTATGAATAAGATAAATGCATTCTGTGCCCATCTCACAATTTCTTTCCCACCAGATTTTTTAATTGTCTGTACATTATGAAATTCTTGTCCTGTGAAAACCTTTTGTCTCATATTTCAACTTTCCTTTTATTTTTTGTGAATTCGAAAGTTAATGTGAACTTTTATTTAGGTGGGTAGGTGATATCTACCTATTCTTAAAAAGAGTAACGGATGGAGTTTGTAGCTCGTTCTTCTCCATTCGAATCTACTTTTTGGAATGAGCACCTAGCTTCACCTAGTTTCACTGACGGACCGACTGACAGACTATTATATTTATTGTGTATTTGTTGACTTTTCAAAAGTACCAAACTATTGTTTAATTGAAATAAATGCTTTGACTTTGAAAGGCGCACAGAATTCTTCGAGGGGTATCTAGGTAAGTAGAGGTGTAACATTAATTACCTGTACTAGGTACCAACATCAGAAGTCTAGTCAAACGGAAAGTTTACTAGAAGGTATAGCGTATAGCCATACAGAGTATCTTTCACTCCGCGCACCTGTTATTTAGATACCTGCTGGGACTTTATGAAGAACTAATTAGCTATCTCCATGACTTAGAGAGCAGCAGTCGCATCTACCATCCACATGACCAACAATGCATCTTCATTTCACGTGTCATTCATCAAAGTCTAATAAATTACTACATATTAACATAACATAACATCATAACATCACGCCTTTTATCCTTAAAGGGGTAGGCAGAGGTGCACATTATACCACTGTACAATGTAACACCCACTTTTCACTATTTATGTTATGAGTCCCATGTAATAGGGGGTGAGCCTATTGCCATATACCGGGCACAGTTTCAGACTCCGTGCTACTACTGAGATTTTTTTTAAAACCCAGTAATACTTTGCCCGACCCGGGAATCGAACCCGAGACCCCTTTGCTCGGCAGTCGCAATTGCGACCACTCGGCCAACGAGGCAGTCATATTAACAATATAAATATTTTATTACACCCATCAGTAACGACATCTCTGTAAAAAATACATAAGCACTGGCATTGGTAGTTCTGTTCAATGAACAAGATGCAAACTAGATGTCGCTATTAGCCACTTTACATTAGCTACAAAATATGATAACGCGAACGTATTCGCTACGGTGTGTAAAAACTGAAAAGTAGGCGCTACGCACTAAGTGAAATTAAGTTTGGTACCTACCTACCTACCTACATGAACACTTCGAATGACAATTATTTATTTCATCGGACTTTTAGATAGGAATTTGCATTAAGGTTGTGTGTGGGTGAGTAGTTAAGGAGGTAAGGCATCTCTAGAATCCACATAGATAATTCTAAGATCAAATTTAATGCTTAAAAATTATGAATCACATCGGGATGATGGTGTCGACGAGATATTACTTCTGAAAAATGAAACAAAATTAACGCTGCAATTCCAAGCAAGGTTAACAATCACGATGTCTGAGAATCAAATTACGAGTTTGAAAACTAAAACCATATCATTGCACTCAACTCAAACAATCCGATAAGAACAGTAGGTAATGGAATGACTGTATGTTGCTAAAGATACTTAACGACTAAGAATAGAGATTTGTGTCATAGGTATAACCTAAATGTCAGGTAAGGTATTTCGAAGAATCATCATCTGCCTATCACGATGCACTCCTCTCAAAAATCTGTGAACCCCATGAAACGGTGTTGTTACGCCAGTGCCATGTCGACATACAAAGGTGAATACCAGGTGGTCAGACTGTGAGGGATGTTTATTGTCACCGAATGCAAGTTATTTATTGACAAATCGCAAAAACGCGCGTCGGATCCGCCGTCGTTGCCGCCGGCCCGCGCTGTCTCGTCGCTACTAAGTAGTAAACATTCAACGTCTCAAGTTGTTCAACAATCTTTAGGTATAATCACTACGAAATAACCTCATAAAATGGAAAGAAACAATAACAAAGTGCGTGTGTTTTTCAAAAAATTATCACGATTATTTTGGGGCCCAGTTATAAGGTTGGTGACATTTCATTCAGTTGGATAGGTACCCGTTATTAGAAACTAGGAATTGCCTTGGGGCTCCGGCTCAAAGTGACGTAAGGACGGGGTGGTTTTTAGTCAGTAATAGTCTGACACTCCGTCCTCTATCCTCACCTAAAGCGGATGAAGCTTCTCCTCCATAAAAACAAAGTACCTACTGCAAACATTTGACAGAGACCGGGCAGCAGCGCGCTCTGACAAACCTCAACTTGTTTAACTGCAATCCGATTACCAAGCATGGACATTATGGTAAACCGTCTTATAAGACGTACACACGGCTACCTACATAACCTAGTGGTTATGTAAAGCTCGATGTGTTTATAGTTAAACTGAATGTTAAATGTGCGGAAAGATGATGCGATGCGACACCAGGATAAACTGGTTTTGTATAGATTGCTGTGTGCCCGTGTGTACCTACGCAAAGTCTACTCAACTGTCACGGGGTGTGATGTTGTGTTGATGACATGAGAAAAACAAACTTAGGTAGGTATCTACATTTTACCTTTTACATTTCAGGTTCAGAAAATTTACAAGAAAGTGGAACATGAACCTAATAAAGATTATTATAGCTGTCAGTGTAACGTTTGTTTTTATAGCATTTGTGGGTAGTTTATTTAGATTAAGAAGGAATGTAAGGAAGCCGATTAGTACGATGTCACCAAGGGAGGCATATTGGCTTGGAACTCCTATCAGTCACGTGGCTTTGGACGAGGTATATAAGGAAATAAATTCAAATACTAATCATAATAATACACACAATGATTATGTTATAGATGATGAACAACAAGCACCAGGTATGTATGTGAAATGTGCCCATCTTCTTAAGTTTACTTAGGATAAGCTACGCATAGTCGCATAGGACCCAGTATAGTGCCTATAGATAAACCATTGAGTAGGCGCCTAGGCATAGGACTTCGACTCGTGAGTGACAAAACCGAGCTAATCCTACATTCAATGCTCCATACTTTCCAAGAGCAGATTTATGAATAGGCCCTGATTAGGCCTTATGAATAGATAAGTGGGTATGTCTATACAACAACAGTGAAAAATAATATTATGATCACCTAATCACCATATCTCTACAATTTCAGTGGGAATGGTTGAAACTTTCGGCTGCAATATACCAGTAGCCGTGATCGATTATGAAAAGTATATTGTAAATAGTACTAAAACCAAGAACGATATGTGTGGAGTTCGGGCCGTATTTATACGAAAACATGACGACGATAAAGTTATAGCCCGAATAAAAATGCAAATAATGTCGAAATATGCCATGAATGGCGGCAATATTCAATGCTGTTATAGGTTTATTGTAGACGCCATACATTATCCACGTGATCGTCCGAGATTAATGTAAGTTACTTACTCTATTTCGTTTATATAAACTATTTTTAATGACTTTTAATCTGTACAAATACAGATTCATCTCCTTTGGTTCGATTCTCGCGTTGAGAAAAGATGAAATGAGACCTATTCACAATTTTAGCTGCTAATAAGAAGGTTGGGGTAATACATGTGTTTGACAGAATTTCCCGCTGTAACAAAAAAAACAATATTAAAAACCTATTTTCAGGTTCAGTAACTGCACATATTTTCAAGATACGACCATAATAACATTACAGTCTGATTTTATCAATGTGATATGTTCAGAAATTAGTATTAATGGGACAAAACAAATTATCTATGATGACATGTATGCCTTTACCAAGAAAATTAACTTTACAAAGGCAAATCAAACTAAATGCAACGATCAATACAACGTTCTTATTCTGGGGATGGATTCGATGTCACTACCTCGCATCGTAAAGACGATGCCTAGAACTGCTGCTTACTTGAATGATGACCACTGGCTGGGTTTTAGAGGATACCATAAGGTAAACTAACCACGATTATGAAAAATCTATCGTCTCTAAACATCGGTAATAAGGTTTATAATGGAGTAAGTGGAAAGCGGTCACCGGTGACCGCTTGGTGACTGGAAGTTAAAAGCTAGGCAATTAAGCGAGGTCTTTGTTCAGCAGTACACTTTTTGTCGGTCTGGTAGCTAATATGATGATGATAAATCGTACGTAGGCAGGTGCTTAGATGCTTCACTTCATCAATTATGAAGCGAATTATGTCACCGTTCTACCTATCGAAGTGACGAGTGTTATTGGGTTTTCGATTGCTTACTTAAACAAATTATCTAATAGGCTGGTTTGTATAACATGTTATGCAAATATCTATCATTGTAGTCGCTTTACGTGCTGTTAACACAAGGTTTGGTTTCTAATATAATTAATAACAGGTTGCAGATAACTCGCTACCCAACATAATGGCTGCATTAACTGGAAAAAATATGTCTTCAATAATACAAAAGTGTCACGGATCCATGGACGCCTGTAACCGGTACCTAATTTGGAAGGCATTTAAGAATGATGGTTACGTTACAGCTTACGGAGAAGACAATTTAAAAATCGCAAACACTTTCATTAAAGACTATGCATTTCGAAGAGCACCTACCGATCATTACATGCGCCCATTTTTTCTTAAAGGAGAGAACAATCGCAGAAACAAAACATCTGTATGTACAGGAAAAATATCTTCAGGGCAACAACTACTAGACTACGCTCTCGATTTCGCCAACACTTACAAGAAGGATTCTTTCTTCGGCTTTTTTTGGATAAATTCGTTTAGCTACGACGAAAAAAGTCGGCCAGAGGAGGCGGACAAGCTTATAGAAAACTTCTTGAACCAGTTATCATACACAGGCATTATGGCAAACACTTTTATAATATTTCTGAGCGATCACGGTCTGCGTTTTGGAAATCATCGCCTTAAAATGGAAGGTTTCTACGATGATCGTATGCCAATGCATTTTATGTGGGTTCCTTTTATTTTTAAAGGCAAAAACTCTTATGAATTTCGTGCCCTGGCAATAAACCAGCACCGATTGTTTACACCATATGATATGTATAGCACGCTCTTAGATATAAAGAGAATATCTTTATGCAGTAATTCTAGTGACCCAGCACCGGAAGGGTGTCGGAACTGCCACTCTTTATTCTCAGAAATTAGTAGCAACCGCACCTGCGAAGATGCGGACATTCATAAAAAGTGGTGCACTTGCCACAAACTATACCCCCTCGCCACAAACGATCCGATAGGCATTAAGAGCGTAAACGTAGTGGTGGATTACATTAAAAGGATGACAGTCACAATAGCCACGCAAAGATGCTGGAGTTGCAAAGTCCCTTCTTTAAAACATATTCACAGAATACATTTCTATTATAATTTTAATGCAGATAATTCTGAAATATATTATGTGATTGCAATTACTCTTACACCAGGTAACGCCACCTATGAAGCGACTGTAATGAAGAAGAATGATTATAGTATAGTTGGGCCACTTAGTTTTATTTCTTACTACAAAGGATTAGGGCAGTGCGCATTAAATCGTCAAGACCGTCTTTTTTGTGTATGTCAAAAAACTGAAAATTGTTAAGTTGTGAATTGGTACTGATATAGGTTTCTGTTTCTACAAGTGGTTACCTGCAGTGGAAAGGTCTGTTTAAGACTGTCTGTTAGTCATAGACCATCCAGATTGCAGTTTGAATATGCAATGTGCAATTCCATAACGTACCCCGCCAAAATGTGTTTAATGTTAATGTTATATTTGTGATATGGGGTAACTGATATTTCTTCGTCTTAAAACTCAACATTGACGTGTTTAGTTTGAACAAAAATATTCCACAAATTCAGTTTCCATAATCATTCCACGCCAACGGCCAACACAATTTAAAAATAGAATTTATATTAAAGTGATACCGGCGAAGTAAAAAGTACTATGTGTAATCGATGAAACGAATGTAATTGTTTAATTATAATTTAATTACTGAACATTTTAAAGGGACAAGGTCTTTTTAAAGTTAAGGGTTTATACTGGAATGATAGCACTAAAACGAATAACACTTGATATAAAACATGAACAGAAAATATATAGAGGAAGGGAACTATTAGCTACACTGAAATAAAATTATTTAAAATATTTATAAATAATTTATGTCATGAATTTTAAATAATTAATACTATTGACAGTAAAACTAAAAATGCTTCTTGCACAGCAAATCATCACATTAGTTAAATAAAATAATAATTATTCTACTATATTCTTCATTAAACTTGGAGACTGGCACTTGTTGGGGTATATAGCAAAGAGCGACAGTTGAATAATTGCTAAAATCGCTCCAACTAGATTGGTAAGCTGAAAAACATATAAATAGATTATTTTAACAGGCTTATTAATTATTTTAATTAAGGTCTCAACCGCGACTAGGGAAATAGAGAAGAGCCAAAGGATTCGATTGTCAAGTCAGCCAAATGATTAAATATTGGGATTTTCGATGACAAAATTCAGTAGGTAGTTTGGCAAACTTCTAGCCTATTCTTATGAGACTTAAATGTATTAGAATAAGACATAGTTAACAAAATGTTAATTATGTTAGGGTACACCCACGCTACTGTGGTAAATATTTTCTTCAATGATTTTCCTACGAATTTAATACATTATTATGATACCTTTAACAGACGGCTTAGTACGAAACCAGACCGCGTGCTTTGATTGGTTGGATCATTGGAGCCGGCTAATCAGAGCGTCAAACGCGGTCTCGCTTCTATTACTTTATGTTACGTAAAACAACTCATACTAAGCCCTCTGATTGGTTGGTTCATTGGAGCCAGCCAATGAGATCGCCGAACGCGGTTTCTACTACTACTTTAAACGTAAACCAAATTCGTACTAAGCTTTCAGTAGCGTGAGAGTACCCTTATAAAAGAAAATGAAGTAAATATGTACATGTTATGCTGAAAATATTTTTTTTATTAAGTGTGATTGTCTATTACTATTATTAGATATAATATATATCAAGACTGGTATAACCTACATTCAAACTGTTAATACTTTAAGTACCTAGATTAAGGATTCCTTGTAATATAGATATCAAGAATGATAATTTTTTGTACTACTACTTATGAATGGCTCATAATTGGCATACATAAATGGAAGATACAAATAAATACTGCATAGTGCATATAATATATGACAAATTATACATAGTTTAATTACACCAGTGATAATTAAACCCAAAATTCTTCTTTATGTAATTATCCCCAGTTGTTTGTTGCCAATAATACTTATATTTTTTTTCTTCTATTAACCCCCCTATCAAATATTACCACAATGTCTCTACTTTTTTTTTATTCCTGCCATAATGTACCCATTTTTTCAAAGTTTGCTGAAGCTTGTGCATTTTAATTTTCATTATTTTATCTCATATCTTTAAAGCGTAAAAATTTAATTAAGAAATAAAATTAAATAAATAAATATTGGACAATTCAACACTAATATCAGCTGATTCGGAAGTTTTTGGGGGAGGCCTATGTTCCTTACTGGATGTCTTGAGGCTGATATGAGGACGATAATGATAATCATTACGAAATACCTAGTTGTACAATATTATTTAACTTACTGGGCTTCACCCAGTTGTACAGTCTCTTCTTTGTGCCTTTAGGCTTAATTCATTCTGTCTCCTGCAGTAATTCACCGAGGGAAGTGGAAACTACAGTTTTTTCTTATTCTCTTATAATATCTTCTGATTCACTTCGTTGCGGGAACCAAGACAGTTACTCATGTCCCTGGGACGCGCCGGACTTCAATGTTCCGGTGTTTTCATGGTAGTATCTATTGTAGATCCTGGCTTACAGGAGTTGCAGCGGTTTTGGGAGGTTGTGGCGGGCTGGTCCCATTAAAAAAAAAATTATTTAACTTACCCATAAAAAGATATCATCTTGTATTGTCCCATAGAGAAACCACAGCAGCGATACGAAGAAAGACATCAAAATCATTGGGAAGGGCAGACACTCCGTGCTGTTTACTCTTACAACGTGAAATAGTTTACTCAGAGGTGCTGCTATTGTTACTAACGTAAACAAGCTAGCTACAAAACCTGGAAGATTATTAAATATTAGGTAATTAGACAAACCCAATGATAGAACTAATTCAAATGTTGAAAAGTCAAATAAAGACAGTATACATACATGCACCCTGTAAAAATATATTACCTACTGGTAAGTTGTAGAAATGTTTTTAAACAAGCAATTCGTATCAGAAGCAATTCAATCCATGCCCTATTAATATAATACCTAATATTGTTGAATAAAAAAATAATTGTTTAATAAAAATTCTTACCTAGTGTAACATAAAGTGCTTGACTATCATCTTCTATGTAAGTGTAACTTATGATAAAAGTCAAAAATATAAGCAAGCACAACATTTGTTTTAAAACGACAGACTTCTTAAATGTATATTTGTAAAATACTGCTGTGTATGATATCATTAGTGTTATGCCTATTATATTAACTATCATTATTACATTATCATTTTTATAGGATCCATATAAGTACCATAGGCAGCAGCTGCAAATTAAAAACAAAAAATGTACTTCTTCCATTTACAAAAATATTTTTTTTATTCTAACTGCCTTTACTTACCATAGTATGCCACAAACGAAAGGAAGCGATGAACTCTCAGCTGTTGTTTTATTAAGAACATATTGTTTGCACACGAGGCTAAAACAGATGGAATACTGACTTAAAAGCAGAACACCACTTGGAAACATATTTTATATTATTATATAATTACTCCGTAATAAACTTACGCGCCAGAGAAAAACTGCAATATTGTTGTAGTTATAGCGAGAGCGCTGATAATATTTCCTAAAGTTGAAAGTTGCATTCTGTCTCTACGTCGGCCTTATAATAGAATTTAAATTTTATTAATCAATTGTACCATTGTACTAGTCTGAGAATAGGCAACAAAATACCGTTGCGTTATTTTGTCATCATGCGAAATCAAACACTACAAACTACAACGTCAACGGTGCTAGCGGACGAATCACATTCAATCTTTATTTCTTCAAGGTCCAGACAAAACATCTCAAAAATTACAAACAAGTCAGACAGAAACTAATTTTGTCTGACTTTGTCGTTAATGACAGTGACATTGACTTTGACAGTGAACGTCAAAAGCTTTTTTGTTTTTTTTGTATAGATTTAGTTTTTTTTCAATACTATTGTACGAATTGTGGATTATGAACTTATGGAAATGGTGGAGTGCGCGGCTCATGCAAAAACCGTTTTTTTTTTTTGTAATGGTGTGACTTATAAAAAAGCCTATGATTACTTAAATATTATATGTGATCAAATCGCTTTCTTAGGTCTTTATTTTTCAAATCAAATAAGTCGTTCGGTGTGTGTCCGTTCTCCCCTATGTAAATTGGGTATTTATATTCTGTGCTGTGATAGTGTGATTTCACTACACTACTGTCAATGTTACTGTCAATGTCAAATAGAAATTAATGATCTTGTTGTTGACTAAAAAAATGTGTTGTTGATGTTATAAAAATTATAAAAAATGTATTTTATCTGAAATGATTTAGATTTAATTATTCTGTAGATTAACATTGTGTTAAAAGTTTTCTATTTTTAAATCATGATACGTCAATGAGTATAGAATGAAATAGTTTTCAAGATCATATTTATACTACAAAAATGAAATCTTTTAAGCTTATTGTTCATCAATCGAGTTTTAGCCGTAAGTATAAATATTAATTATAACATTCGTGTCTAATTACATTTCAATATTACAATCCTGTTACGATATATGTATACGACTGAAATTATAACACGAGTTAACGTAAGTGGCGAAAAGTGGGTGTTTTACTTACTGTATGCACTACCTAAGTCAATAAAAGAGAGTGTCGTTGAAGTCAATTTTATAAAACAATTAGAATATTATTTATTTCTATCTAATCATGAAATGTTGGCCCACGTAATTCAGAATATTTACTATCTTCAAATACATTTTTTAGCACTGGACTTAATCATTAACTTGAAAGACTACCCAGGACTAAAGGAAAAGGATATTGTTGAAATATATCACCCTGAAAATGATTATCCACGGTTATTGCTACAAGTTACGAAAACGGATGTTCCTGGACGAGGACGAGGTATTTATTTGTGTTATATTTTAACTTTTAAGATATAAAATGCAAAGATATCTTCAAGATACTTTCCAAATCATTAATTAATTTAAACATACCTTGATCAGATCTAATGCATCACATACATACAAATTATAATAGTGAAAATTATTATACAAATAGGAAATCTAAGCCTATTTTATTTCCAGCTTTATCAAACCTGATGTCCCCCTTGTAAACTATACTCACAATAGACATTTACTCAAAATCATAATCAAAATTTTTTAGTGTAACTATCATCAACCAACAACTCATAACATAAACCCAAGAATACACTACGTTGCCAGTCTATAGTCGACATGTCTGGCAACATCAACGTCGCCGATACATTAATCGGCAGGTTTAAATGGGTGTTACATAAAAAATCACATCACATCACACACATCTTAATTTTTCTTTATTGTTTATGTACTTTATGTACTGTATTCTTTATGTACTTAATTTTTCTTTGCAAGCAATAATAGAAGCCTATGACATTATTTTACGTAAATTATTTTTCAGATACCATCAGTGTAGAACAAAGCATAGCTATAACTTTCCAGTTGAGAACCTTTGCAGATGTTTACATGAACATCGTAAATGTGGCCGATGTGGCCCTGGACTCTGTGGAGCTCACATTCAAAGACCAGTACATGGGGCGATCGGAAATGTGGAGATTGAAGAACAGCTTGGTATTTATTGCGTTTACAAAATGTTTCTAATATATGACTGCACCCTAAACTTTATTTTACCTGTGACTTCAAAAAATCTTCTTTCATTGATTGGAGTATTTTGGAAATAATTCCTTATTATTGCCTTACATTCCCTGGGGAGCCTGGCCCAATCAAAAGGTCTGGTCCTATATTATGTATCGGTCACTCAGCTATCAACAAATACTAAGTATTTTTTATAGTAACTATCGTGAAACATGCTAAATTAACTAAAATCGCGGGTTACTCACGTGAATATACTGAGAAAAGCTCTACCAGTTTCGAACCACAGAGGGGTCCTTCCACATGAGCAGCGTGCGCGGTCCCGACGACGTCGCGCAGCTCACTCACAGCTCACTGGTGAGCGAAAGTAGTAGAGATTTTCTCAGTATATTCACTTGAGTAACCCGCGATTTTAGTTAATTAAGTTCTAAGTATTGTTATATCCAGATTGTCAAATTGTTTTCTTATCAAAATGTATAACAAAGAGGAAATTAATTTACGATTTCTTTTAGGTCAGCACCTGTGTGTACTTAAACAAAAAGATAGAGTATTGTGGTGGAGCTATAAGATGCCAAGTTTACGAGATGTGGTCCCAAGGAGACAGGGTGGCTTGTGGAGTCATCACTGAGGATACGAAGATAGTGTTCCGATCCTCCACTTCCATGGTCTACCTCTTCATACAGATGTCTTCTGAAATGTGGGACTTTGATATACACGGTGATCTGTATTTCGAAAAGGCTGTAAACGGATTTCTTGCAGATCTTTTCGCAAAATGGAAGGTAAAGGGTGAATTATATTTATAGTCTCTAAATTCATTTATAACTATTTTGAAATCTATATCTATACATATAATAAAATCGTAGAAAAGTCAAAACTGTACATTGAATATTTTTTTAAAAGAATACTTGTAGCGATCTACTATTTATTTTGAAGCCAAAAATATGGTTTCTGGAATTTTTGTCTGTTTGTCTGTATGTATGTTCGGGATGATCTCAAAAAGTACTGCTAGAAGTCATTATTCTACGCAGACGAAGTCGCGGGCAACAGCTAGTTGTAAATAATAATGTTTGGTTTTCATAGAAAAATGGCAGTAATCATGAGGTGACCATAGTACTGTTTTCGAGGACATTCTACAAAGCTAAATCGCTAGAAGAGTTTCCGCAACACATGAAGGAATGTTTGCAGAAAGATTACCGAGGCAGGTTTTATGAGGATTTTTACAGGTACTATTACTTTTACTATTAAAATTAAGTATGTGATTGACTTACAAAGTCTGGGAGAGTCATACTTCGGCACGAATGGGCCGGCTTAACCGGAGTGATACCACGACCTTACTGGAAACCGACGTGAAACAACGCTTACTTGTGTGTTACGTGTTTCGTCGTGTGAGTGAGGTTACCGGAGGCCCAATAACACCCCTCCCCAGTCTCCCCAATCTTCGAATCCATCCACAATCCTTAAATTTCCAATTTCCAAAGGCTGGTATCGCACATGAAACGCCTTTGGTGTTTCAGGTGTTCTTGGGCGGCGCCGATTGCTTACCGTCAGGTGGTCCGTCTGCTCGTTTATCAGCTTGTATAATAAAACTATTGTGGTATTGAGTGTGTGTTACATTAGGCCCTTATCTTAGTAGTTGGTAGTAGTTTCGGATGTCTTCAAAACGTCTTCAAAATGTCTTCAAAACGGAGCGTATGCGCAACGAATATATTAGGGGAGTACAACGAACACCGACGTTGCGGTCGCATAGCAAATACGTTGTCTTGAGCGGAGACGCTCGTAAACCGCTAGCATGATAAGGCCCTTCGGTAATTAACTCCTATTTATTATATATTATCTACTTATTCCAGGGTCGCAGTTCAAAATGAGAGATATGAAGACTGGTCAAATGTTCTCCTACAATTACGGAGATTATTCACAGATTACCAAAAGATTGTGCTACAGTACCATGAGAGACCGAACATGGAAATACCGACTGCTATCAATTCTACAGCAGCTCAAGGAAACTTTCTTGAAGTTTTAAATATGAGTTTGAATGGTAAGTGTCATACATAGATATTTAATTATACCTCCTACTGGAAATAAAGAAAAATTGTGAGCAGTTTTTGAGATATTTTTGGTTCACATAGGCACAGATTTAAAAGAAATATATATGTTGACTAAATTACGTACACAATACAGATATGTAGGTTCAATAAGGACCTTTATAATAAACACAAATAATAAGATAATGTGTTTTCTGTCTCTTATGCTTTCTCATATTGTATAATTGTGAATTAATACATTATCAATTTTCTTTGTTCCAGTATTTGAAAAGCACTACCTGGACAGATGTTTCGATCGTACAGGCCAACTGAGTGTAGTCATAACTCCAGGAGTCGGTGTGTTCGAAGTAGACAGAGAGTTAACAAACGTCACAAAACAACGGATTATAGACAATGGAGTCGGAAGCGATTTGGTTTGCGTCGGCGAACAACCTTTACACGCAGTACCATTACTAAAATTCCATAATAAAGATAATAATTTGAACTCCATAGATGATTACTCCATGCCGCATTGGATCAACTTATCGTTTTATTCTACTAACAAAAAAGTTGCCTATTCGAATTTTATTCCAAGAATCAAATTGCCTCCAAGAAAGAGTCAGGAACCGTTGAGAAAAATGTATGAGGATGAACGTAAAGGAAAGTTATTAAAGGAAGATGAATATATGCATAATTCTATATTTGACTATGATGCGTACGATGCTCAGGTGTTCCAGTTGCCATTAGCACATAGCACGTGGTGAGGACTTCCATTTACTATCATGATTATGTCTCTAACAATTGAAAATGAACTGGTCCACACAATTTTCAAACGTAATCTAGAATCTAAAGTTATTAAATTTCGTAATACATATAGTAAATACGTTTCTTATAACGATTTTATGTTATCTATATTATTTCTTTTCACATAATACGTACCTACTAAATATATAGACATATATTTGCAAAAGTTAAAATCAT